CAAAATAGGGGATTTGTAAAAATATGGCGTGTTTGGGTTCTCCCTTTACACCCCCAACAAAAAAAAAAACAGAACTGGGGACCCTGGAAGTGCGCTGCTTCCCCCAGTCGCCACAAAAAGGAGGACCTGCCCCACTCAGAGAGTTATGGGGTCTGAGAGCTCTCACTCGCTCCATGGCGCCCATGGACCCCGTCAGCGTGCCGATGTGGCCCTCCATGGTCTGCAGCATCACCGCCACCACCGGCGCCGGATCCTTCTGGTTGCTCCTGCGACAAAACGAAATGCACCAGCATAGCCCCAGATAGAAGAGCAAAAAACACCAGCACCCCAAAACAGCACCTGCCCCAGCACCCCAACCTGCATGCCCCCTAGCACCCTGCTGTCAATCCGGCAAAATGCTTCGAAACGAAGCCGAGATCAAGTCGAATGGGAATGCAAAGTCCGGGCTGCAAAGTTTGATTCAGGGACAAAGGGAAGGAAGAGTATGAGTGGAGCCCGGGTGGTCAAATTTGGTAAACTTTAGGTTACAGCTGGCCCAACCTTTTCGCAACTGTTGCAAAGAGCTCGCGGATGTTGCACCAGGCTTAACTGAGTACCCCATTTACCCCACTCGCAAACTGCAAGTCGCGAAAAAGCACTCTCTTCAAAAACGTGGCAGTGACCATTGTCTCATTTTGCCTCAGGCCGTTAGCAGAGCGGGTCAAGGTAGAATTGGGGAGGGTTCACAATTAAAAAGAAAAAAAACCTTTGGCTTACTTTTGCTTACTCCCGAAGCGCCCGCCCTTCTGCTGGCTTTCATGTACCCTCTTAGTTCTTCCGCTGGGCAAAAGAATTCAGGTGGATAAACTCCCAGCGAAGTGCATCTGCCCATCTGCACCCGCCCCGCGCCCCGACCTCGCCGCCCGCAGCGTCGCAGCGCGGATGCGGTCGCAGGCAAACCTCGGTGCCGCAAATACGGACAATCCCCTCGTCAGGGAACCGAAGAGAAACCGAGAAGTGGTGAGTGAAAGGGGTGTGTCGTGTTTTCAGGGTAACCACAAGGAGAACGACAATTTCGGGAGCGTCCTATTTTAAGACACACAAAAAGGCAACTAGAAAGCTGTGAGCCCAATGGGCAAGAATGTCTGCCTCAAAAGGCCCCGGACTCGCGCCATCACGGCAGCATTATGAACCAAGAAGTCCAGCTTCCTACATCGCAAACCCCCCGTGCCCCAGCCCCAGCCCAACCTCCACACAGCCCATCTGGGCTCCCAGCAGGGTCTGCACCGGCGCCTTCTGCAGCGCCGCCAGCTGTGTGAGATCCAGCACCCCGTGCAGCTCCCCCACGGAATCCTCACGCATCGACGGAGATCGGATCTGCCCCAGCGGGCCGAAAAAAGAAAAAGGCGGAAGAGAATCAACAAATCAACCCCGCAAAACGATCACCAAGCACTCCACGCCATGGTCTCCACGTGCAGTTCCTGAGAATCTCAAAGGTTTGAAGGAGCAATGGGTAGTGCCCGACATCGGGTGTCGGCGAGGAACTCTGTTGTCTCTCCAATTTGGTGCATGACTTCCCATGCCGTTTAAGATCACATTGACCGCCCAGCACCCCTGTTCAAAGTTGCAGGCCCCAAGGAAAGGACCCAAGGAACCTCACTCAAAACGTCACTTGCTGCTCAAAGTCACAAATGGTCAAAAGGAAACGACTTGAAGGACCCCAAACAAAATGGGCCAAGGATTCGCCCAGCTCGCTCTATGAAGCTTTCACCTGGCCGCGGGGACGTGGGTTACGAATTGGACCCAAAAGGACAGGCTCAAGGGACAAGCTGATCCGCCAAGTTGAGGCCGTTCGGCTGTTGACTGGCAAGGCGTGCTGCCCCAGCAGGCACAAAAATATATATATTATGTGTATATATATATATATATAACCAAAAAAGTATGATGATGCTTTTCTGACAATTACTCTATCCCTTTTAAATGGAGTTGGACTTTCCATGACATGAAATGAAGGGCTAGGAAAAGGCTCATTTCGGTTTCCAGCGGTTTTGCTTGAACAAACCACCGCGCACCAACGGGTGCGCTTCAGGCCCCTTTTCAGGGTTTCAAATGGAAGTCCGTTGACAGCAAGACCCGCGTGCGCGAGTTGATTCGGTTGCCCGATCGATCTTTCCGGGCGAAACTGTTTGAGCCCCGCCACCCGTCCTGGCCGCGCAGGAAGTTCCGGGTGCACACGGGGAATGCCACGATCCAGCGGCAGATCTCGTCGCAGGCAGCCTTGTCCTTGGCGACCCCCTTTTCTTGCCCCACTGGAAAAGCCGTCGCTCGTTGCAGAAACGTTCGGTTGCTTTTGCCATGAAACAGCACCCCCAAGCAAGGCAGCCCAGTGGGACGACAAACCAACGACACGATTTTGCGACGACAAACCAACGACACGATTTTGCGATGCCGTACTTCGAGACACACCAAAAAATACATTGCAGCGTCAATTGTTGGACAAGAGGATCCTCCATAACACATGGCCAGCATGTATCAAACGAGCCGAACTCTTCTTCAAGTCGCATGCGAAGCAAAATGCACTGCCTCTCCCGCCAGCACGCGGCAGAGTTCAATGAGCTTGCCCGCGGCCGCCCGCGCATCATAGAAGCGCACGGCGGAGCGGTTCAGGCGATATACTAACATGAAGGACAGCGGAGTAAGCAGAAGCGCATAGTCCTCCTTTAGGATGTCTTCCAAGTGAGGAATATCCCAGTTCTGGCCAAAGATCGTGCTTGAGTCTTTTGCTGCTGCACATATGACGGCCATCGCACCGATCACCAGCAACGGCGGCGCGACGTGCAGGATTGGCCGGCCTCGCAAGGACAGCACCGTCCGCAACCAGCCCAGCCAATCACAGCTGGCAGTGTTGGCCTTGTAGGTGACCACACTGTCACCTCCAGTGAAGCAACTTCTACAAGAAGTACACGGCTTTTTTTGGTCTTGCGCTCTGTCTGACAGCGCATCAAGGAGCGAGTTCATGCTTCAAGCCTCTGCAAAAGCAGCAGAAAGCCTGGCACAAACCCACCGTGAATGAGTGAGCACACTGCCCTCTTGCTTGGAAACGTCCTTGCTGACTCTCGAGCCAGATACTTCAGTTCGATGCAATCTAGTTCCAATCAAATGGCCTGCCCTGATAGCAAACATTTTGTCATGTTGTGCTACATGAGCAGATTTGACTTTCCTTGTTCCCAACATTTCTTGTAATTTGGTCAGCGTGCCCAATGTCATCCCTCTTGCAAAAAGTGGGGATCGGCTTTTAAACGGAAACCACGGGGAAAACCACCAATTTGGGGGGGCCCCTACGAAACATTGGCCCTTGCTCATATCCCGCTCCCGCTCAGCGGGCGCCTGCCTTGGCACTGGACACTCCATAGCCACCTGGCGCCGTCCCCCCTCACTTGGTGGCTTCTGAAAACGGATGAAAAGAAAACCAACCACTGAACGGCCGGAAAGCCCTGGCAGGCCCAAACTCCTTGCATGTCGCTTTGCTTCCGCGGCCAGTCAAAATTCAATTCACTTTCAGCACTTTGGAAGGGTAAAGAAAGAAAACTGTTCTTAGGGGCCTCTCTCAGACGACACAAAACTCAAGCCTGTCTGTGTGTTTGTGTATCGGTGTGTCGGTGTGTGTGTGTGGCTGTGTGTGGTGTGTCTATTTGTCTGTGTCTCTATGCGTGTGTGGCACTGTGTGTGTGTGTGTCTCTGTGTGCATGTGTGTATCCCTGTGTGTGTGTGTGTTTGTGTGTGTTTGTGTGTTTGTCTGTTTGTGTTTTTTGTGTGTTTGTGTGTTTGTGTTTGTGTGTTTGTGTGTTTGTGTGTTTGTGTGTTCGTGTGTTCGTGTGTTCGTGTGTTTGTGTGTTTGTGTGTTCGTGTGTTTGTGTGTTCATGTGTTTGTGTGTTTGTGTGTTTGTGTGTTTGTGTGTGTGTTGTGTGTTTGTGTGTTTGTGTGTTTGTGTGTTTGTGTGTTTGTGTGTTTGTGTGTGTGTGTGTGTTGTGTGTTCGTGTGTTTGCGAGTTTGTGTGTTCGTGTGCTTGTGTGTTTGTGTGTTTATGTGTTTGTGTGTTTGTGCTTGTGTGTTCGTGTGTTTGTGTGTTTGTGTGTCTGTGTGTTTGTGTGTTCGTGTGTTTGTGTGTTCGTGTGTTTCTGTGTGTGTGTGTGTTTCTGTGTTTGTGTGTTTGTGTGTTGTGTGTTTGTGTGTTTGCGTGTTTGAGAGAGTGTGTGTGTGTGGCGCTGTGTGTGTGTGTGTGTTTCTGTGCGTGTCGCTCTGTGTGACTCTGTGTGTCTGTGTGTGTGTGTGTGTTTGCGCGTCTCCGTGTGTCTGTGATTGTGCGTGTCTGGGAGGGGAGGGAGGTGAGGGAGGGGAGGGAAGGGAGGGAGGGAGGGGAGGGAAGGGAGGGAGGGGAGGGAAGGGAGGGAGGGGAGGGAAGGGAGGGAGGGGAGGGAAGGGAGGGAGGGGAGGGAAGGGAGGGAGGGGAGGGAAGGGAGGGAGGACTCGCCCATTCTTTTTCTACCACCTGCCATTCATGACAACATGAGAAAATAGGTCAGAGAGATGGATTCCTTCCTTGATTACACCTTCTAGAGACGTCCCAAAGGTTCGAATGAATGGTGAATGAGTGAGTCATGTCCTCAAGCCCGTTCCATCTGCTCGAGTGTTTAGCCGCTTCCTTCGGTCGCTCAGTCAACAAAACCCCAAGAGATGGATGAAGCGAAAATGAGCGGTAAGGAGACTCTAGACCTAACCCTTCCCTTCTCTCCCATTCGCTTCCAGACAACCAAAGTAACTTCAAGAGATTCGAACAAACGGGAGAGAAGGATGCAGACAGAGCAGAGATAAAGAGATGCTAACTGAAAATGCATCAAATAGAAAATTACGCAGCATGTCCATTCTATCTTTTATCCTCGCTTTCTTATCCATCTACTTCTCAGTGTGTTTGTGTGTTTTGTACGCTTTCTTGAGCTACCAAAGCTAGGTCCTCCGGTAGAGAGCTTAGAATAAGGGTACCCTTTTTTCTGTAGTCTATTTTAGTAGGGGACCCTCCCCACAAAAAGGGGTGAGAAAGGGCACTACGGGGGAAGAACACAAAAGAAAAACCACCAAGTTGGGGTCTCCAGGGCAGCGTGTGCCTCCGCCTCCGGGTGGACTGCGCCACCCCCGGCCACTCGATGTCAGCTCAGTAGGCATTCGCCTGGTGCACTTGGATTCTTTGTGAGTGATGTGGCCATGGGTCACCCCTATCAACGCATGGCTGCGGGTCAAAACCGTTTTGGTACCATTTTGGGGTAGGTGAATTCACCACCCATTTGGGTCTATTTTAGTGGGGATTGGGACTGGGGGTACGATTTGGATTTTGACAGGGGGTGACAGATTAAGGAACCCCCTGTCCACCTTGCTGGAAGGCTCCATCTTTCCCATGCCCATTCCGTAAATAGGTTCTAACGTCACTCCTTCAACCCAGCTGCGCAGCTGGGCCTAGGCTCATTCATTCTTGCTTTTCAGGCTGTGTTTACAGGAATCCAAACAAACCATCGAATGTCTAGTGGTTCTTTCTATAGATTTGTTTGTCTGCTCTATCTCGCTCACTGTCTGGTGTTCTCTCTTGAGAGTCTTGATGTATCTGTCGTCTTTATTGGTACTCTTATACACTTGGCTGCTTCATTTTCTTGCGTGTTGTTTTCCTTTTTGCTCATGTCCTTCTTTCTTGCTTGTTCCTTTCTCAACTTATTGTGCTGCTGCTTTGCTACCCTTTCTTTCTGTTCTGCTCTTCTCTTTCCCTTCTGTCCTGTACTTTTGTTTGTCCGCAAACAGCTCTTCAGCTATGCGAGTAAACCCGTCGCGAGCGAAGTCCGACGGGCAAGCCCTACATGACAGAGTTGGGAAGTTCCCTATTTGTGACATATACCCATTCAGAACTGCCAGCCTGCTGTACTTTTCATCCACATTTGACGGGCTGTTTCCAAACTTTTGATGCAGGTGCCAGGATTAGTTGCCACACTAGATGAAATGGGGATGGTCAGGCACAAACCGTTCCCCATGCCGCCAAGCGGATGGGAGGCTTTGAAATCGCTACGTACTCATCTGCTGGGCGGATTCCTTCCCAGTTCAGGTTGGCCATTTTTGAGGCTACGCCATCCCTTCCAGGGTTGAGAGAAGTGGGTTTACCCAACCGCCCATAGGTCCGCCTCCATGCCAAGGAGCAGGCCCCGACGAGCCCAGAAGCTGCCAGCCGGGTGATATCTCTCCGTGAATTCTGTGCGCGCGCGCGTTTCTGCCTCGGTGTCGCAAAAAGGGACCCTATGTTTGTCAACCCCCCAGTGATTCAATGGTCTATTCATCTCTGTTTGCTTTCAACCCCCCCAAACCAGTCTGGTTGCCGGTTTACACAGACACACATGTTTGCAGCGTGTTCGCTCGGGGGTTTGCCACGCCCCGCACGTGATCCATGTCCTCTGCCAGCCACGGCTTTTCAAGGACAGCGAGAAATCACCTGAGACAAGGTTCACTTGTGCACATTGGCACTGGCAGGCAGGGTGGTGGCATAGCAGTAACCGTGGTGCGCAACAATGTCTGTGTTCGTCGCCTGTCCCCCAACATCCATTGTGCGCTTGGTAGGTGGATGCCTAAATCCAAGATGCGATTGAATGTAGAGTTTGTTTGATCTCGTTGAAAGTGTTGATTGACGGATTCACTTGCCCATGAGTCCACCAAACGAACAACAACCACGACAAACAAACAACCAAACAAGCAAACAACCACAACAAAGGGAAAGGGAAGGCGCAGCTGCTGGACACCATCCCCTCTGGGTGCCCCTCAACTTTACAGCTGGCACAGCCGATACTCGTCCCTTTCTACCCGAGATGGTCAACCAGCCCCGCCACGCCCGGGCACTCGTGGCCTCATCCTCCCACCTTCGAAAAAGCAACACAAAGGGAGTGGTCGGAAGTGGCCCGGGAGTGGTCGGGAGTGACGAGTCAATCCAATCCCTCCGCCCGGCAACACATCTGCCAGGCCGCATCATGTTTTTTGCTCCAAAGGAAGCGCGAGCTCTGTACGCGGCTACCATATTGGGCGTGGCCATCACTCGCTGCAATCTGGTGACATGACCGCGAAGCAAGCGCCACCAGTGAGACCAAATCCAGCTGCACTTGAGGATTGGCTTCGGCCAAGGGAACTCTGGCATCGTCGACTGCACTCTGACGCCTCATGTGTCAATGCGGCAGCTCTGCTTCGCTGAAAGGAATCCGCCGAGTCCATTTCGAGTCTACTTCCGGAGCGTGCTCTCAACCTCCCAGTCGGGTACACCTGCGCAGAGGGATCCACACTTCTGGCACCCAGGCATCGCACCGTTCGAATGTATTCGAGCATAGCCGCACGGACGCCACGCCCCCCAAAAAAGACTCCGCATAGGTCAAAGGACTCTGAAAATGGCCTCTTCTGAAATCGTTGTTGAAAGTGCACCCTGGCCTTGCCTATGCAGTTCCTGCCGGCTCAATTGCCATTGGCAAACGTGCCCCTGGGGAAGGCAATAAACCCGAAACTCCGCCAGGGTTCCTGTTTGTTTTCCATCCAGCTGTAGAAAAATGCGGCCCTTCTTACAAGGACTGACTAGTCTGTTCCCGACAATCTGTAAAGATTGTTGAATTCGTTGGCCATGTTCAAAATCAACTTAACATGCAGCCAATCGTCAACGCCCCGAATCGATGTTTTTCGATCACGCCTCTCAGTCGGCCTCTAGGTGCCTCTTGCCCACAACCTGCGCTTCGTCGGACTGTGCGGCCTGAGCCATGAGCCATGAGCCATGGTCCCAAGGAAGCCATGGCGCATGTCGACAAGGCATCGCACAGGCGCCTCCTCCTCAAGATCTGGAGTCTTGTCCTGGATCCAAACCGAATTGCCGAATTCAAGTCGAAGCCGAAGTCCCGAAACGGTCCATGCAATCGCCAAATAAGTGGAGAGATCTCGTCGCCTTACCCCAACAGCACCCAAAACCTGACTGTGTCAAAAATAGGCACCTTTTGTGGAACGGCTTTCAAAGGAAACAAATAGGAAAGCGACCAGAATTCCTCCACCGTTTGTTTTATCCCTCAAATATCTCCGGCGCCCGACCGAGATCCACCCAAGCCTTTTCTTCGGTGTGTCCCATCAAAGAGAACAAACTTGCAAAAGCAAAACGCCCCAACGCGTTTGAGAAGCGAACAGTTCCGTCCGCCTCCAAGTCCCTGGCTTCGCCGAGTGGTGCGTAGGCCCATTGATTCAGGATCGCCTCAGGCGGCGACTGGGCGGGGATCAGAACTTTGGCCTCACCTTTCTCTGGTACCCTCTCTCGGGGTTGAAAGGGAAAACGGAAAGCCGGGACCCACCTGGTGAGGGGGCAGGGTTCAAGATATTCGCCAAAGTCACCCTATCTACTTATCTTTGTTTTGCTTGTTCAGACACCCAAGAAAGGACTCACCTTGAAGTTCCAAATCGATTCGAAATCCCAACAGTCGAATTGTGCACAGCAGTTGAGCCAGGGCCATGTTCGCATTGGGATCGAGGAATCAACAAGCAATGTTCGACCGTGCCAGCCGCACCCAAACGTGAGAAAGCCGGAATCAAAGATCAAGCCTCTCATAGTGCACCTTCAACAGAATTAAGCAACATTGCCACAAGACCTCGATCCAGCCTTCCTAAATGCTTCAAGTGTCCGTGTGCGAGATGCCAAATGACAGATTCGCCTCGCCTCACCTTCCCCTAAGCCACTAAGCGCCTGGCAAGCAGAAAGGCCTCAGCCGAGATCAGGTAGTAGTTCCTCAAGCCGCAGAAGGGCAAGGACGGAAAACACCACACACACACACACACACACACACACACACACACGGGCGTGGGTCCACACGGCCACGAACATCAACACGGATGCCTGAGGTGGAACCTCCTTGTTGCATATACCAAGCTAAAACCGTGCCATTGTAATTTGAATGTTTGTCAGAGTTCATCGCCAAGTCTCAAGAAGGTCCCCACGTATCTCGGGGTGTCCCACGTATCGCCAGCTGTGGCGAGGCCCACCAGCGCTAGCACGGAGCTCTGGAGGAAGTTCACCGATAGCAGGCCCTTCACCCCCCAGAACCTCGCAAGGTTTGCATCAAGTTGAAGCTCCCTCCAAGTGCTTGATGTCCTTTCGGTTTCTGTGTCCAAAAATAACACCCAGCTTTCCACAAATAACACCCAGCTGTGGCTCCTTCTTGTTCGCCTGTCTCCTTTCTGGGAACCGTTCCAATGGAAACTCAAAGGAAATTAGGCGCAAATCAGAATCCCAAATTCAGCTGGAGAGTTGCACTAAACCACCAAACCAGCTGACCCACCCCAACAATCCCCACCAAGACCTGGAGAAAAGCAAAGCCAAGCCATCACACTCCCCACAGCAACCAACCATCAGAGTGAAGGCCTGTGCCAGGCTGGGGAAAAACCACGGTCCACAATGCTCCCAAAAGAAGGCGGAACCGCCCACTTCCAAAAGAAAAGCAAACAGCGAGGTGAGAGACTCTGAGGAGCCAAAAAAGAGGAAGGCTGTGAATCCATGTTAAGATAGGGGACAGCCAAAAGATTTGTTACCCCAAATGGGATACTCCGGTCGAGAACACGTGACACTTTTCCGCCTTCACCGCGGCCATCGCTTCTCCAAACTGGATTTGTGACCCTTGAGCAGCCGTCGTTAGGAGTCGATTCGCCGGGAAACTTCCAAAACGGCCTCACGGCCTGTAGCACCTGGTTGAACGCGTGCTCGTACTGCAGGATCGCAAAGAGGGCGATGGAGCAGGTAAAGAAGTCTGCCGCCACCATCAGCCTTGAAGCGAACAGCCTTTTTGCGAATGGGGAGAACCCAGACAACAAAACGCAAAACCGAAATGGCCATGGGTCAAAATCACGTACCCCCAGTGAACATCCCAATCCCCACTAAAATAGACTAAAATGGGTGATGCACTTACCCCAAAACGGTACCATTGGCTTTGACCCACTGCCAAATGTGGAATACGGTTTGAGCGGCCAACCAAACCAAAAAGGACCGAGCGGCATGGACGCCGAGTTCCACACGTCCTCGCATGCCAAAGAGCTGGCCTTGGTGTGCAAGTTCTGGCTCAGCTCCTCAAGCGCCGAGGAATCGAACCCAGGCGTTTGGGCGTCCCTGTCGCTTTCTCTTAAGCGCCACCCAAAATGGGCTCGGCGTGCAAAGAGTAGCCTTTTCGCATGAAATCACCATCTGAGAAGGCCCAACCCATTTCGGCCCAGCTTTTCTGTTCTGGGTGGGTTTACGGTGGGTTTGGGGTTGGCTTCGGGTGGTTTAGGGTTGATGCAGGGTTGGCTTAGGGTTGGGGTCGGGTTTAGGTTTCCTTTGAGGTTGGGTTCAGGTTGGTTTGGGGTTGGCTTAGGATTGGTTTAGGGTTGGTGGTTTGGGGTTGGCTTGCGGTTGGTTTAGGGTGGGATTAGTGTTGTCGGTGTTAAGGCCGGATTAGGGTGGGTTCAGGGTTGGTTCAGGGTTGGGGGTGTAGGGTTGGTTTAGGGTGGGGGGTCTGTTTAGGATGAGTTTATGGTTGGTTTGGGGTTGCATTTGGAGTTGGTTTAGAGCTCATTTAGGGTTGCTTTGGGTGGGTTGAGGGCTGAGTTAGGGTCAATTTAGGGTTGATGTAGAGTGCGTTTAGAATTTGGTTTTGGGTCGGTTTAGGGTCGCTTTGCGTGCTTTCTTGCTTTGCTTTGCTTTGCCTTGCCTTGCCTTGCCTTGACTGGCTCGCTGCTCGCTTGCTTGTGTTCCCACCGGAACAAGAATGCAGGTGGGAAGAAAGTGCCCAACGGATGTTCAAAAATTATCACTGAAAGTCGAATCTTCAACTTCACCTCAAATGCCGAGACGGGTTTGTCCCTCCTTTTCACCGCGGAGTCACTTGGGACCCTCCTGCTGGCTGACTGCCAGAGAGATGTTGTGCCGGGGGAACCAGGCGTGCGCCAGAACCGCCAAGGCCACCTCTCGAGTTCGGTGCGCAGCTTCCGAAAACCAGCCGAAATCCATCCCTTGGCTGGAAGGACCCCGGCACATACAGGTGAGTGGAAAAGAAAGGTGCTGGTGCTGGAAGGGCCCATTGTTTTGCCTGGTGAGTGGAAAACAAAGGGGCTCCCCCCCCCCAAGTTTCTGCCCGAGCCGTTGCACCTCGCAGGAGGATGGGTGTAGCCAGTCCCAACCCTTCACCGCCACCAGCATCAGATTGCACCCAAAGGCCAGAATCACATATTGCCTGGCGACCGAAGAATCAAACGCAACCTTGCCCAGCTTCCCCGAAAACGTTGTGCGGAAGTGGTTTGGAGATGACTTCGCGTGCCTGGGGCCCAAGGAGCCCCTTGGCTGCGGGAAACACATCGAGACGAAACAAAGGCCTTGGACAGAGACAGACAAATCAAATACGAGGAAGCATTTCACACGGTAAACCAGAGCCATTCAGGCGGTTTAAGGTTTACCGTTCGCAACAACTCCCCGAAAAACAAATCTGATCGCCTGATGCCCACCGACATCACGGACTGGAAGCTCTTCTGGAGCCGGTGCTCATTCTCCGCACTTTCGCACAGGCCCACCTCAACCAGAACCCTTTCAAGGACCACCTGAAAGGGAACCAACATGATTTCCTTTCAGATTTGACGGAGTCATAACCCAAACCTCACGTCAAAAAAAGCCCCTCAGGCTTTATAGAGCTTTGAGTTTGGCCCACCTTGTCCTTTGGGGTCAGGTGGTCCACGTACACCACCAGCAGCCGCTGGAAAGAATACAGAGCCACCGCTGAAAAGAGCTCTGCAACATCCATCATGGACTCTGCTGTCCATTTGTCTTCCCGGTTTGTGGTGATGACCCGGAGAGCTGATATTGCACAAACACTGTACGTGGGAGGCACCAGGAGTACAACTGATGTATACTGAGAGATTTTGTGCCGGAGTTTATCAGAAGGACCTACTTTCATCCAGCTCAAAAGGCACCGCCCGGACAGGAGCATAGCCCCCCAGGAGCAAGCCAAACCCGAAATCAGCCAAACGGTGTGCAGGTTCTCGGAGGGGATGGCAAAGACCGACTGCATCTCTTGGCGCTCCGTGCGAGCGCAGCTATAGGTGGCACACCCCGACTCAAAGAACAGGATGTGGTGCTTCTCGATGCAAACCGTTTCAGCACACTGGTCTCCAAAGGTCACTAACCCACAGGGCACGCGCCCCGAAAGCGTCAGCACCGTCTCGCGCACCAATAGGATTGTACAACAAACAAAATATACCATGGACATTTGCAGAAGCGGCGCTTTCAAAAAGCACCATGCCAGCAACAGCAGGGTGATCCCTACGAAAAGCCCGATCAGTTCAAATGTGCAGTACGACGATGTTGCCCAACCTCCGCCAATCACAGCCAGCACAAGACTCAAGAATACGCATCTGCGGTGTGCCATGCCAAGTATGCGACCCTGCTCTACATGGTCTTGAGCCAGCCAAATATGTGTTATTGCTCTGATGCACAAGGCACATGGATGTGGTGCTTAGCACCACCACCCAAACTCAAGAGGCTTCTGTGCTGTGCCCTTTGAAGTTCCTCTGTAGCCGTCCGTATCTGACAATATGGAGTCAAGATTCTGGCCTGCTCCCAGTGTGAACACACCGTGGACTTTGCAAGAGAAGAAACTCGGCGCACGTGTGTTCAAAAAACATCTTCTATGGCTGTAAATCGGCATTAAAACCGTGTCCCAACAGCTGTTCTCATACCTCGGCCCCTACCACCCCTTGTGCACCGCAGCCTGTCCCCACCCCAACCGACGTCTCCTGATTCACACCAGGTTCATTTTGCAAAGGTGTGGCAACGTAGGCTTTCTCTTTTCGAGAACACTGTCACAACAGTGGCCTGCAAATTGCAGATCACAAAACCATCATTTCAAGCAATCATGGCAACTTCATGTTTGTGAGTGGAGGACGTGTTGCGACATACAGCTTTCCAAGCCAACGTGTCATGAAGGGGGACGCCAGTGGCAGGCTTGGTAGACAGAACAACCCAAAAATCAGAAGGAGTCAGAAGCTTTCTGAGACCGGCCATTCCATTCAGCTTGGTCTGCACCTGTTGACTGTGAAGGCAAGCGAGCCATTTTCCTCACGCTGCGGCGACGGTGAAACAAACGCGCGCCGCGGCCACTTGCGCAGGGCCACCGCTTCTAGCGCCGCGCTGGAAGTGATGGCCCTGTGCAAGTGTCCGCGGCGCGCGTTTTTTCTTGGTGCCTGTGTTTGTGTCAGGTCTGCGCATTGAAATCTGCGTTCACGCTGCGCATGTCTCTGTGTTTGCGTGTGGGTATGTGTGTGTGGTATAATGAGGGGTGTGTTGAACAAAATGCGGCGGGCGGCTCTCAGCACCTGGCCCGGGCGGGGATGTAAGGCAGGATATCATCATGAAAGTCACAAACAAACATTTTACTTAGATGTTGTGTGGTGGGATTTTGGGAAACGTTGGCCGGAGGCCCTGTGCTGAGATGATCTGAGATGTTGTTCATGTTTTTCAAAAAAAAAACTTCCAAAATTCACATAGAATATGTGTCGCAACAGCGTTGAATCCCGGAATCGGTGAGCTCGCCAAACTCGATCAATCCCAAATCAATCTTTGGGATTGCACGCGCAACTGTAGTGAAGCGGGTTCTACCATGCAGGCAAACCGCATGGAAGCATGCGCCAACACGTCAAACTGTGGGACAAGACAGTGAAGCAGTTGCCAAACCATAACCTGCAACCGCCAAAACCAAAAAAATAGGTTAACACAAAAAAGAAGGAAGCTAAGTCGGGGCTGGATTGACAAATGTCTGCTCAGGTTCCTTGCCCTGCAATCGCCGCTGGGCTCACGGCCCGTAGAAACGGATGTTGCGTACAGGGAGATGAACAGGCCCATTCCCTCGGGCGCTCTTCGGTTTTCTGATTCCTTGGGCTAGAGTCGGACCCTTTCAATCTGATTCTCCTAAAAAGAAAATATAACTATTAAAATAAGCTCGGGCGATATCCCCAACAGCACCACACCCTCCCAGAATCCTCGCGGAACGCCCCGAAACCATCCTTGCCGCCGGTGTTGCTGAGGATGCCGCCTTGTAAAGCAAAGCTACGAGTGACAGCGCAATCTCGCCCTGATCGGGGCCCGGCCCGATCCGGGGCCTTCGGGTACCTGGGGGGCATGGCCGAAGGACCCACGGCGGGCGAGGTTGCTGGAACGTTGGCTGGCGCAGCAGGAGTCGGCGCAGCGGCAACGGCGGGGCTGGCCGTGGGACTTGCAGGCGGCGCAGCCTACGGTCTCGCCCGGGGCACGGGCTGGGTGCTGGAGAACACGCTCTTCCGGCAGTGAGGACGCTGCCGTGCAGGACGTCCGGTCCGCTAACGGCATGAACGACGCCACGCAGCCTCAGCACTTCACGCTGCGCTCCGGCAGCAGCACTTCCGGCAGCCCCTCAAGCAGCCGTGCCCTCCCAGTCAAGCTTCCGAGTCCAGGCGCACGCCAACCACACGCCACGCCCCTTCTCCTGGGGCCTGAACCCCGTGACCCTGCCCCAGTCCCAGCCGAACTCACGGGCGAGCTCCCGCAGCTCCGGGCAGTCCCGCCAGAGCCGCCTGCCTCCGCCGAGCTACGACCAGCTGGCCCAGGACATCGAGGCCGCCTAGACTCTCCTTCGCCGTACGAGTGAAGATGCGTGTCGCGGTACAAGTAAAGAAGCATGGAGGTAGTCACAGCCGGAGCACAGGATATCAAATTTCGTGGATCCCTTCTGGAAGCCGTTTTTCCTTTGGAATCTTGAACTCTAAAGGTGGAAGTGCAAAACACTACAGGGGCCACATGGCCCGATGAGAGGGTTTGAGCCAAACCCAATAGAAGAGGAACAAGGAAACAGGGAGCCTTTTAAGCGGGGCCACACCCCAAAAAGGGCACAAACAAAAACAGGAAGAAACCAGGACACACCCAAAACCCAACCCTCCCTAAGGTGCACCCCATAAAGAGGGAAGGGGGGTTTCCCCATCAGGTCCCCTTCTTACAAAGGGGGGGGGGCGAGAGACACAAGTGGGTTCGCGCACCGAATCTTTTCACACAAAAATTTGGGCAAGTCACTCGGACCTGCCCCACTCCAAGTGCACATCACGTGGACATCAATCCACCCGAACGTCACAAAGTTCGGAGAGTGGGGCAGCAATCTTTGCACAAACGATAAGATCTGGCTTTGCGTCTGAGCAAATGCGGGCAATCGGCCAAATGCAGACATTCACCACGTGGTGTTAAGCGAAGTTCTTGAATCTGAAGCGGCTTGGACACAGCCAATGCTTGCGTAGCACTGCGTAGCACCATGGGCAAAGTAATGCACACATAAAAGAAAAGGAATGCCATGCCGTAGTCAAAGGCATCCATGGTCTGCTCGGGCGGGAGAGGTGGGAGAGCAGAGCCGTAGAGGGTGCCAGGGCACCCACCCACCCACCGCTGAGCCGGTGCTGTGTATATAGAAATTCAGCAGTTGACAAACCTAATATCCACTTTAGAGCGCTCACAAGTTCGCTATTCAAGGTTCAAAAGGACTTGAGGGTCTACGCCCCTAAAGACAACTTTGGAATCTTGAACTCTAAAGGTGGAAGTGCAAAACACTACAGGGGCCACATGGCCCGATGAGAGGGTTTGAGCCAAACCCAATAGAAGAGGAACAAGGAAACAGGGAGCCTTTTAAGCGGGGCCACACCCCAAAAAGGGCGCAAACAAAAACAGGGGGAAACCAGGACACACCCAAAACCCAACCCTCCCTAAGGTGCACCCCATAAAGAGGGAAGGGGGGTTTCCCCATCAGGTCCCCTTCTTACAAAGGGGGGCGGGCGAGAGACACAAGTGGGTTCGCGCACCGAATCTTTTCACACAAAAATTTGGGCAAGTCACTCGGACCTGCCCCGCTCCAAGTGCACATCACGTGGACATCAATCCACCCCACATTTACTCCACGTGACCACAAGTCACTCAGTCTCTTGCCCGTCAATAGGCACACAGGAATCACCCCTCTGAGCTTGCAGCTCTTAACGAGTCCATCAAATTGATGGTTCGTCCGCAGCATTGGAAGGAGACGGTACTCGTGCGACCAGTGCAAAGTCTGACCTTGCAGCTCGTCTTTTTCAAAGGACAAAAGAGTTGGCGAGATGTCAGGGAACCTGAGGGCCCTCTTATACACGCCTCCATTGCAGCAAAAATAGTCAACAAAGTACAGGCAATGTTAGCCAACAAGCTGCGTATGCCACAAATGACGGGATAGCACCACTCCATACAGCTCCACGGGTCCTATGAAATGTCTCATCTCAACCTGCCACTGCGGACAAGAGTATCTGGCATATTAAGGCAAAGAAACCAACCACGTCAAGGTCTCTGTTAATCAGGAATCTGCTAACGGACTTGGATACGACCTAGCAAGCGACTACATGCGGAAGGGTAGAGCTGGAGGCTCTGAACAACCTCTTTAATCAGGCAGAGGGTTTCCCTGACTCGTCCTGGCTTGCTCCTGACCAACACGACAGGTCAACGGTGCAGGACAAGTCGAGCTCAACCCCCAACACAGCAACACGCTCACTGAAAGCTGCTAACTAGTGCTCAGTGCATACAAATCCCAGCAGCCTCATTGAGGTGATCATGCAAGAGGTGGACGACTCTCCAAGCGCAGAAACACTGATCACAGGGATAATCACAAAGATAATTTTCCACAAGAGGTCAAGTTCAAACCCAATTCTCTTGCAAATGCCTTGCACACAGTCGAAGTTCACAACACTGGAAGTGCCCCCCCCAAAGGGGAGGACTCTCCTCTCAAAGCACGCAACCGTCCCGTTGTTAGGGTTCTTCAACGTCGCAATGGAATACTTCCTGCTGCCAGGGTGAAGTGCAAGTCGCTTGTAAGCCGAAGACAAATCAAGTACACTGACACAAGAGAATACCCCCTGCTGTCAGGGTGAAGTACAAGTTGCTTGTAAGCCGAAGAAAAACAAGTACACTGGCACACACTTGCTGTTGTAAGCCTCTCGGGGCGACGAGTGCAACAGCCCACGCAACACGGAGCTTCATCTTGTATCATCCTCAAGGGTGGCTTCACATAGTGTCTTGAGGTCATCATCACCCTGCGAACCATGCACCTTTCCCAGCAAGGCTGGTCGAACAAAATCGGCCATGTCGTCAAGTTCGCCAATAATGATTCCTGCGGGACGAGGTCAAGATCAAAGATTCCACAAGGCTTCTGATCCCCAACGATGCTGAAACCATCTATGAGGGAGAAAGGGAGCCAAAGATCTCAATGTCAGGCCAATAAAGAGAACCGGAAATTCTTCTGCAACAACAAAAATCTTGGCATTCATGATGCTACGCGCGCCAGGTTCCATGCCACGCTTTGGGGCCATATTATCGTTGCTCAGAACACAGGCACATTGAGACCAAGTCTTATAAGGTCAACTATGTGGCAA